GCTTGTAAACAGAATATCACACTGAGACAAGATGAAGAGGTTACAATCTCTTTACAGTATTACATTTTTGAGTAAGCTGTCTTTGAGATGTGGGGCCAACTTGATTAATGCATGGTGAAAAGGATTCTCCATTGTGATGACATCACTACTGCCAGCACCAGAATAAACATTTAACCCTCCCACTGTCCTAATGGGTGTGACCCCACGAGGAAAGTTGACCATTGAGCAGGGTTGATGGTTTATCCCTTGGGTCCATGTGGCAGGGGTGAGGAGTGAGCATCACCTCACCCCTGCCACGTGGACCTCAAGGGATAAACCATCAATCCTGCTCAATGGTCAACTTTCCTTGCAGGGTCACCCATAAAGACAGTGGGAGGGTTAATATAATTTCATCTAGTAAACCTAAAGTGCGTAGCAGCTAAACTTTCCTTTCCACTCAGTGGCACTAGAGTGATGAGTGATATATCAGGTCACAATCAACATGTGCTTTTAATATTACACATGACAACACAAATAAAGAGCTGACGATTCTTCAGTGACAGAAATTGTAGAAATTCACTGATTGTGTTAAGGGTCACGGGGGTCAGATGTAGTTTTTGTGCTCTCATTTTCACCACCCCTGCTGTCTTCTGTTAGCTGTCAAAAAACTTGGGTAAGAGCCAAAATGGTAACATTAGCTGTCAGGAACTGTGTTTGCTTTGCAATGAATGTGAACGTCAGACAATATATGACACCTCACAGGGTAAAGCTGAGCAACTGCAGCTTGGCTGTGCCTGTCTTTCTTGTCTGCTTGTCTTCACGTGGATTCTAGAAAGCAAAGTGAAGGCAGCAGGGAAGAATTTGCCCCTATCTACAACAACCCTCATTTTTTTTATTTTGATTTTAAATCTCATTCGAAGGACAACACAAGGGACTCACATGCAGGCTCAGAGACAGAGACCCTGCAGAAGGTGTTGTCATCTGAGAGCTGGTGATTTCTTCTGAAAGTGCTTTAAAAGGCCTGAACCAGGCTCAACAAGAAACTTCAAACATTAATCACCCACTCAATAGCTATCGTCACCAGAGCTATCCTGAATAGCTTTTAAGCCGCCCAGGTTGGTTGAAAGATATCGTAATTGTTAAGTGTGTCAGTCAATAGAGACATACAGCTAAACCTGTGTGGATTTTAAATCTGTAGGCCTTTTTTCAGTTTTACTCAGAAAAATAAAAATACATGTGAAACTCTCATCTAATGAACAGCTTTTTCAGTTACACCAGGGTGCTTTTAGCAACAGTGCATAAAGACCAAATATGAAGAAAAGCTGTTGGAGATGAGTGTATGTCTAGTCTTGACTGCTGAAATAACAAAATAGCATTTTCCATCAAGTTAGTACTTTAAAAGCCCGTATCAGTCCACTTCGACTCCTGACACCTCTCAGTGCAGCTGTCAGGAACAAGCATATGTCAGAGAGGACCTTACTTACATTACAGTGAGCAAAAAAAGGCTTCCTCTTCTGTCAACACGTGTTTAGAAAGACTGGAGAAACTCTGGAAACTCGTAGTGCCGTGGGGTAGAGGAGTGCCATTTGTTCTGTATTGCACTAAGGCATCAGTCAGAAACCATATTTGAAGGGAAATTATTCTCTTTGCACATCAATCTTGGAGCTGATAAACATTCTGTTTCCTGGAAACATGTATTTCATGATTTCTATGTGTCATGATAATGAATATCAAATATGTATGGGTAAATTTATGAAGCATGAAAATCCTGCACAGCTGAACTGTACTTGAGTGGTTGCAATGATGCAGTTTCTCCACTTAGGGACAAATAAAGGTATTCTTATCTTATCCCTTGGCTGTGACGGTTGGCAACAATTTGCTTATGTGTTTTCAAATTGGCTTGAGAGGACTCATATTTCCCTGGAGTCATAAGGCCTCATTCTCCAGAGACTAGAATTTTGAACATGAAAAAAGGGAAATATTCCTTCTCAAAATAGTCCCCACATTGTTGCAGCAGTCTCAAACGTCTGGAAATCATCTCAGTTTAGTTTATCTGTGTCAGGTGGACAAACAGAGCTATACAAGAACAAATAACAGACATGCTGAGACAAAATTAGTGCACTTTGTGACTGAATTGAGGCTACTCCTCAAATGTTGGTATTTGTTTGTAATGTGTTTGCAATTAAGTCATTTGGCCTACATGACAAGGCCACTAATTAAAGTTATTGCAAAAGTGTCAAAGGTACGATGTTCCTACAGAAATTCTGAATATCTCCTTACAATTTTGTGTCTCTAACTAGTTGCCGACAGTTGTAGACTTCTGGGACACTAACTAGAGAAAAAGCATTTACTTTTTAAAGAGTGAGAAGCTGTATAAGTGTAGCCTAGGGAACTAGACCAAATTCTTGCTTTGCAAAGTTTGGTCTAGGAATGCTCCATTGGAACCTAGTATAAAATACATACTAGTTGTATCAACTAGTCGACTAGTTGATACAACCCCTATTACAAACCATTTAAAAACTCTTCAAATATTCCAACCCAAAGAGCTCAATAAATCGAATTCCCAGTCATGATGTAAGAAAAGAGCGCTCCTCACAGACACGCAGAAGCAGCAAGAGAATGTGTCATTGCACAAGTTAACCCCAAAAAACTACTTTGATAAATAATTATTCCTAGCCTCACAAGATGTTGGGTCTTCTATATTATGAGATAGATCTGAAAAAGTTATTGTTAACCTGTAACTGTATAGAAAGACAGGTTGAACAAACATTTGCTACACAGGAAACCTAACTTTTGTACTCCTAAGCATTCCAACAGCAACACAAACCTTTAGACATCTAGAAATGCTTAAAGGTGAAATGGCTAATTTGGAAAAGAAATTAGTTTAAAACATGTTTCATGCCTCTTAACAATGTTCTAACATAGTATAGATATAAACATGTTGTGGAGATTAAAAAAATAATGAAAAAAAAATTTTTAAGTGGTTCTTTCACATTTGTCTGAAAACCTCAGACAATAACACATTTAAGACCACAAGCAACTATTGGATCATCCGGTTGTTGGTCTCACCGAACCGCAGCACTTCCGCACTTCCTTTAGTCCTCCACTTACGCTTATACATTAGCGTCAGCACGGTCAGGGCCTCGAATGGGCGGTGTAGTGTTCACATTTAAGTCCAAGGGACTTCTCAGGAATGCGGAAAACCCCGAGCCTGTGGGCGGAGTTTAATATGCACTGGAAAGTGTGCGGTGTCCTCCATAATAAGGTAAACAAAGGCGGGCATGAGCTGTGTTGCTTTTGGAGACTCTGAACCACATTATTTTATTAATTTGCTGTGTGTGTCCTCATACGCTTGTGTCACACACACACTGCTTTCTACGCTGAGCAGCTGTCTGCTCGCCAGGGCAAGAGCTCCGATGCAGAGAACAGGCACACACACACACACACACGCACACACACACGCACAGAGAGTGCACTCACTTCTCTCGTTCCCACTGAGCGGCAGCCCCGTGCTACAGACAGAGAAGTTTACTCAACAGCATCCAGCATGAAAATGAATCGTGCATGGGGAACACCCACACAAGGAAAATGACCCAATTCTAGAAGCGTTCTGCAAGCACATTGTCATGCACCGGGTCAGTGTTCATATCTAACCTGCTAGTAGCAGCGTGTTCTGCACTCCTTCCCATAAAAAGACAGAGCAGGCGTGTTGGTCTTGGCTGAGTGTGACCTTCAAAGGGCTCATTTATCGCCACATCTGGAGAGGGACCAATCTGATAAAGTTGAGGAGCCTGGGACACCTCATAATCCTAACTTGGGATCGCTGTTTCTTTTAATCCCTCAGCTCTGTGTTTACCTGCTTCTCCTTTGATGAGACCCCACAGGTGTCTCTCTCACTTCTCACTATCTGTTGAAGTAGGCTGAATGTAAAGTCAAAAGTGGGTCGAAGGTTTTAAGGTTACAATTTCCATATGAGTTGTGATAGAGACATATAAAGTTATTTACACAGATTTAACTCACCAGTTTCGTATTTCAACAAGTCTCAGAGTGAGGGGACCAAGAGACCTTCTGTCTCAGTCTCTGTTTACCACACACAGACTGAAAGAGTGGAAGCCCAAAGCATATTAAAGCACTATTAAGGTTAAAGTTCAAGTCCCATAGTCAACATCACACACTGGCGAAATTAATCTCCGCATTTGACCCATCTCCATGGAGGGGAGCAGTGAGCTGCACTCGGGAACTATTTGGTCGTTTAACCCCCCAATCCAACCCCTTAAAGATGAGTGTCAAGCAGGGAAGCATTGGGTCCCATTTTTATAAAGTCTTTGGTATGACCCGACCGGGAATAGAACCCCAAACTCCCAGTCCCAGGGCGGAAACTCTACCACTAGGTCACTGAGCTGACCTGGCCCATCAGGTCAGTCCAAGGTTGTTAAAGCGCCCCCACACAATGGCCACCACCGGATGACAAAAGCTAAGTTCAGACAACAAACAACTCAACTGCTTGGCACATAAAAGATTTATAGCATCGCACAACAAAGGCAGCTCTCAAAGCTGCCTATGAGGACAGCTATAAGGTCGTCCCATGACGTGAACTCCACTCAATCACTCTGCTTTTCTCTGACTCTGTGCCACCCAAAGAACTCAACAATAAAAATTCAAATGAAAATGGAGTGATGCTTAAAACCAGCCTCCCAAGTGGAAAAACTTCTATTTTTTTAACCTGAACCTCAAATGAAAAGGCAATTATTCCTTCTCAGGTCTGAGGTCTTGATACAGACATGAATGCTTCAGCAGGAATAAAGTGAAAGCAGTGAAAACAGAGTATGAGCCAGCTTTGCTTAATTAAGGGCTGAAATATCTTGCGTGTTCTGTCAGACAGAAAATTGTGACTGAAAATAGTTTACATTTCAAGACAGATTTTATTGCCATCATTTAGAAAGTGAATGCAGGTAATAAAAAGTAAGTGTTCATCGGTGAAAAGTCAGACAGACAGTGGTTAGAGTGTGCTTGTCTGTTACCTGAGGCAGCACAGGGTTCGCCAGGATTCGAGATGTTCTTTTTCCTCTCATGTCGGTAGACAAGATGGGGTTTGTTGTGCTCTTCGTCATATTCCTCCCCCGCGGGATTTAGAAGAGGCTCTAGGAAATATTCACCTTGATGCGTCGTGAAGGTTCCAACCTGGAGGAGAGAAACGACAGTTCTGCTAAAGGTCTAGGTACGAGAATACTGAGGAGTAGGGAAGAGTTATTTTCTTTGATGAACCCAAAAGAAAGGTTGTCTAGATGAAAAAGTACTCCCATCAGTCCTCTGTCAAGCATGGGGCAGCAGTTACTCAGAAGATAGAGTGGGTTGTCCCATAATCAGTGTTGTAGGATCAATCCTAGCTCCCAGCAGAGAATGCTGCTGTTGTGTCCTTGGGCAAGACACTCAAGGTGGGCAGACACTGCAACTTTTTCACTCGTAGCGTTCAGCTTCAGCTCAAACTGTACGACTTCCCCGCAGAGCAAATATCACGAGTCATGTGCTCACTGTTTATGACCCAGTTCTCAGATGTGACCTGACTGCTCACACTGTACAAATGTTAGTAACACGTCGGACCTACAGATATGCTAAAAACAGCTGCCAGACTTTTTTGTGCTGTTACTGATGTCTGTCGTCCTTCGGGAATGCTGTAGGAGGGCAGATTTATTGGGGTTGGATGAGGAAAACAAAAGAAAGTAAATCAATGTTTTGTGATCAGTTTAATTTGACATAAACATGGCAAACACACCTTCTTGAAAATCTTTGCTATTGTGTGTGTCAAAAAGTGTAGAAATAAAAAAAAGATGTGTGTTAACAGGCAAATAGCTCCCGAGCCGTGTTGGCACATGTTTGCGCACGCACCGTGAGCGGTTCTGGTACTCTTTGGGTTGCAGCTGCTTACGACGCCGCTTCTACCATGTGATACCCTCACAAGGGATGAGCAAAACATCAAACATGCCAGAAAACCATGCGAGCTCACGATTGCTGATCGGTAGCTGGTCACGTGGTGTTAATCGCCTTTCGTAAACCCCGTCTACAGATTTTTTCCTGCATTCAAATTTGCGTGGCGGCCGCCTCCTGCTAATTTAGTGCCGCCCCAGCCTGATTTCACTCTGCCCCCAGCTATATGGATGTTATTTTAACTGCAGTTGCAGCGTTGTGCCACTATAAGGGTGCTGTATCAGCAGTGGTGCACCGAAAAGCGCTAAAACTGCTGCAGAAAAAAAAGATCAAAAATTGCTTTTCTCGCTAGTTGGTACATATCTATGGTTGGTGCTATTGTAGGCTGACCATATGTCCTCTTTCCCCCAGGGCGTCCAGGGCGGTTTCTTACATTGATCAAAATGTCCGGTTTTCATCCAGGAGCAGGGATTGAATTATGGGGGGCAAGATATCTGTCAGGGAAAGATCCAGTTTCTGCCTATATTACAATATTTTTGGACTCTCAGTGCAGTGGGATTCTGCTGAGCGGAGAGGACGCAGCGCTGATCGTTGGTGCGCCCGCTGCGTCCGGCGCACGATCCACTCTCAAGGTGGCGCAACAAAACATTATTATTAACACATGATCGTTCATATCTGTTTAAATCCTCTGGTGTTCTGTCTTTTACTCGTTCCTGACGCGCTCCGCTTATCGTGTGCTGTGGTGATTTCATCTCACTGATGCAGCATCGAAACGCGCTCTCCGCTTTGTGGTCAGGAGATCCCTTTGATCTGCTCAAAAGTAACTGATGAGGTGAAAAAGTAAGAATCCAGGCAGCAGATTTCCTAGAGAGTTTAGAGGAGATGCAGGAAGATGAGAGACAGACAGGACAGTAAAATAGTTAAATAAAAACAAGTAAACAAAGTGTTGAAAAGTCAAATGTAGGCTGATTTATCTCACGTTTTTACCTGTATGACGCAATAAGTTATACACATCATGTAATATTTATACATCTGATATAATTCAGATCACCTTCAAAACTCAGTCACACACCCAAGGCCGTTTCAAGGGGGACCAAAGCAAAACAAAACACCCCCCTAACCCTAACCTATTCATAATAGACATGCCACCGTTACATTGTTAGCAGCATAAATTAATGTTATTACCATTTCCAATACAAATGCACATTAATGAAATGCATTATATTTTACTGGATATATGTATGTGTTATTTTGACTGAGTGTTATTAATACAAACCTAAAATGTTACTGAAATGTAGGTCAAATATTTAAACATTTTTTTACTATAAATATCAAATGGGAAAAAGGGAACTAAACACCAATCTAATGCATATTATCGAGCCTTTTATAATAGCTTGCCTTTAAATAAATGAGGCAGTTGAATGCACAGAGCATGCATGCGCTGGTGCATGGTCAGGATACCACCTCTGTCTCAATTTCAGCCAGGAAAACCCTGGTATACTACACGACGCCCAGCGCAAATCTCGTCCCAATCTTGTAGATTCTTGCAGGAGGGGAAAATCTGCTCAAAAAAGTGAAAAAGTCGCAGTGTCTGCCAGGCTTTAACACCCCCCCCCCCCCCCGCCTGCTGGTGGTTGTCAGAAGGACTGTTGTGTCATTGCTCAGCAGCCTTGCCTCTGTCATTGCACCCCAGGGCAGCTTTGAATATTTGTATGTGCACTGGTGGATGACTGATTGTGTAAAGCACCTTGGGGGTTCCAAACTCTAGAAGGGGCTATATCAAATACAGACCATTTGCCGTGCCAACAGTCAAGCAGCATATGCTCATTAATTAGTGGGGGTCATTGGTGTAGGCTCACTCTGTTTTGACTCAGAAAACATAAAGAACATCTTCCAAACAGAGATCCTCCCTGCTGTCAAAGAACAGGTAAGTGACCCAAGAAAAGATGGCAACATCTAAAAGCACTCGAGCAGTAAACGGTCAAAACCAAAACTTGTCATTATTCAAACATTTGGCCAAGGCTGCATTTCTATCAAACAAAACATCTATACACTGTTCTTTGATTTCATGCACAATCGGTTAAATAAGAGCTTTTCATAACTTTGGTGAAAATACACTTCCCCTCCACGTTTTGACAGTGGGAGGAGTGACATCATCATACATGAGCAGATTAGATGACAGAGGAATGCTAATATTGATCTGTCAGCTACAACTCTCACAAAGCTTCTCAACTCTCCCAGCCGTGTGAGGCATGGTGATGTTTACATGGTAATTTCATGTGCTCACTTAAGCAGGATATTGGACTTTGGAATGTTATCTTTAAGACAGCGTTGCCTCATCGCTGTCGCTACAAGTGATGGATGTATGACAGCAGAAAACATAGAGATCGGATGTGGAAAACAGGAAAAAACCCTATTTGATACTCAAGCGTGAGGAATTTCTTCAAACCATAATACACACATCATGAAAAGAGTGACTGTAAAAACAATACACAGAATTAAACTCAACATCACCTTTTCCACAACATCAACTTTCAACACTTTCCACTATTTGTTCCCTTCTGAGTATCCATCTCTTTTTCTTAGCAATCCCAATGATAACAAAACTTACAAATACAGACTTAAACAAACTCATGAAGACTTTAATATGATAAACTTGGGGTGGGATCATGATATAGTATTAATTTCTCTGCATTTGACCTGTCCATGAGAGGCAAAGAGCTGACAGTACCCTGGGGGCAGCAGTATCTTAATGACACTTTGACAGATGGCCTAGGACCTGTGATCGAATCACGCATCTTCCAATCTGTGGCCAACAACTCTCCCCATTCAGCCAGCCATCACTCAGTATGACTGGAGAAGTTGATACTGAAAAGGACATGTTCATCAAATCAACGCTGCAGTTACAGCAGAATCTTTGAATCTCAGAGTAGACGTTTAAGTGAGATTCTCTGACAAGAAATTTAATGCAACTTAGTGTTCAGATATATATTCTATAATTAAATATTCTACAACTACAACTGCCTATGTGTTGTAACAAGCAGTAGATGTCAACATGCATCCTGTACAGAGCAGATGATCACAGTTGTGTCTCTGATGATGTTAGCCAAAGTCTGAAAAGATAATTGTTCTGATTAGTCCAAGAAGAGGCACGTTTCCAGGGCTTCCCAGCAGCAGAAGTTTGGCCAAAAGTTGCTGTTCAGCAGTGAGTGCTGAACCGAACCCAACAACCAAGGCTTCGTTTTAAATGAGGTCACACCAATGGCATGGGAAGCATGACTGTTGGCATATGTCGGTTTTATTGAATCCCATTAAAACTCAAAGACACCTGGTAGTCGCTGATTCTTTCAAATGTAACATAGTTCTGCAATCAATCTAAAATCAGACAGAGAACATGTCAGGAGACTTTGTTTTTACTAAAGTTTAGATGATAGATGTGCTTGGGCAGCTTAACTCACCACGTACCTCTATTATGAGAGTGAGCTAAGAGAGCCAGCCCCACCAGGACCGAAAATTTCCCACAGTGAGCTATCCTTAAAGTTCCCGCAAACCCTCGCTGGCTGTTGCCTCCTCTACAGATCCGTCTCTCTCTCTCTTTTCTGTCCATCAGCACTCACTCTGAAAAGGCCAAAAGCTCCTAAACTCCAGTCTCCCCCCCCCCCCCCCCCCCTCTCTCTCTCTCTCTCTCTTCAAATGCCCCCTGGGGATAGCTTTGAGTAACTCTGGACCAAAAGGGAACCTTATTTTTCCAAGAATGACCTCTTTGTTTTTAGGGCTTAATTATTCCTTAATGACCTCATCCCAACACAATGTGACCTGGCCATTAAGCCCCAGTGATCAGATACAGACACATTTATGACCCAGTACCCTCTGGTGCTGGATCTATTGTCCTTTCACTCTCGGTGAGTGATAAGCAACAAAGACTGTTGAAAAGAGGCAGCAAACATGTTTGGATAAGCAAGTCGTATATCAAAGTTGTGCAAAGAGGCAATCAAGTCCTTATTACCCAGATTATTGTAGGACACCTCGGGTTATAAGTTTCAGTTTAGACAGAAATGGTGCTTACGTTTGTTTTTACAAATTGGACTTTTCAAATATCTCATAGGGAGAACGTGCATTGTGACGTAACAAAACAAAACAAAGCACAGCTGGATTCTGTAATGTTCCGATACTGTCCCGTTCTAATATAATAGTCACTGATAGTGGCTGTGATGGGGGAACCAGACTCTTTAAGACTTGGTCACTCTGTCCCCACCCCCCCTGCACAGAATCCTGCTGGCGCAACTGAGGTCAACCTCCTTCTCTTGGTTTGGTAACCTCATGTGACCCATGAAGTCATTCCCTTCAACAGTTATCCAACTGTCTTCCATATGAATCAGCAAACTGACTTGGCCGTCAGGATTCACAAATTATGTATAATGAAATTTTAAAGGGACTATATGGAAGTTTGACAGCCAAAACATGTATAGAAATAATACATTTCTTCTTCATACATTCTCCTGCAATGCCCTGGTCCTGTAGAATGAGCCCTGGCATTTTTACTGTGATTGCCTGTTTTTCTGTAAAATCACAGAAAAAGAGAGCTGCTCGGGTCGAGCAGGCTGCTTCATGCGCGTTCACGCTCAGGCATAGCCCGTAGCATTTACCATCCGTAGCTTTAGCAGCAGAGAGAGAGGCAGTTCCACTTTGTCGCTGTTCCCAACGCCTAGTGACAAAGCTAGCTACATTTCTGAGGACCCTTAGCTACTTTCTGTAGAACTTTCTTCTAGATATTTCCTGCAAATAAGCAACAAAATAGCCATTTTCGCTCTGAACCCTTCATTGAACGTTGTTTCAGCTGTCATCAAGGGTATAAATTTTACAGATACAAAAGATGTCACTGGCGCTTTAGCTCACCTAGGAAGACGTCGAACTCTCGTGTAGAAGACCTGGGCTTGATTCTGGGTGTGAACATAGTTTATTTAGAGTTTCTTTTTTACATTAATGGTATATTTTTTTTACAGTAAGATGCCCAAATTTTTATTTGAGACTCGCCGAACGGCATTGAATTCACAGATTAAAAAGATGTGGGTTCAACTTTCATATTGGAACAATTTTTCAAGAGCATGCAGGAGGACTGACCCATCATAAACCTTTGTCAGCTGTGCTGAAGAGAAAGGTACAGAACCAAATTTTTTAATTAATTAGCTGCGCATTCTCCTGTCCTCTGTCCTCTGGGCCACACACACACACACAGGACTGTCTCAGCTGTTATTTTCGTTAAGGAGTGTGCACGAGCCTACTATTGAAGCTGCCGTTACGCTTTTGGCCTGAGGGGGCAATCGCGAGCATAAAAATTCAAAAGTCCGTAAAGTTCCTTTAAACTCATTATTACCCCGTAACTTCATTACAGCCACATAATGAGCTCAAAAGCTGTTGTTTCAGTCTTAATTACAAAGCAACATATCTTTCCTCTGTCTGGACTGTGAGAAAAAATAGGTTTAGGGCTGAGTTAACAAAAAAGAATCACTTTAAAATAGCAGAATTAAAAGGGAAGAATCTCATCGCAAATTTAAGAAAAGTTAGATTTGGCAAATGTTTACTAAGAGTGACCGATGAAAGGCATCAACAATGAAAATGTAATTTAAAGGTTTAAAAAGTCAGACGTCATAGCTCTTTTTGTCACTTTATTAAGAGTTATAAAGTGTATGCAACAATAGAAAAACCTAAAAAATAAATAACCCAAATCAGTCTAAAGTACTTCATAAGCTTTAATGGTTTTGTGCGGGGTACATAAGTGATACATAAATGAGATAAGCTTCCACTGATATTGTTATTGCATGGAAGCAATTGTTAATTGCATGTTATTCTCCCATTTCTGTTATGATTTTTGTAAAATCCAAACATAAAATACACAAAAACACACAGCTCGATCAGGAATAGTGTGCTATGAATTTTGGTGGCAGTGACCACTTATAAAAACAGTGTCCCCACACAGGGCAATGGGATTCTGGTGAAATGGGTAGGGCTGCCACGATTGGTCGACTAATCGTCAACAAAACTGGCGATTAGTCGACTAATAAAATAGTAGTTTGTGGCAGCCCTGAATGGGTGACACGACTCGGCCCTCTTGTAGCTAATGCAGACTTTACAGTCTTCACGTTTGAACAGTTGGACTTTATATGACATGTTCTTTTGGATTTCTGAGATTTAACACAAAATGTTGAACTTGGAGAGTGATGATGCAATGCCTTCAGTCTGACCTCTTGCAAACAAACTTGTCTTATGCCATCCAACTTTACACATTGTAAACAGTTTATACATTAATATGTAGACATTTTTGTCTCATTTGAGCCAGTTTTACTCTCACCGCCTTAGAACTTATCATGTTCTCTCCAGTCCAGTCAGAGTAGACTATGCACATTCAATGCTCGTTTATTTTAACTACAAGTATTTAATTTTTATGACTTGTTGCACAGCAAGTGCAACCCTAACCCTCATTTCCACTTTGGGTTGCTGTTCTCATTATTAAAACTGCAGAAAAAAGGAGAAAAACAGATTTGCGTTACTATGGTGACCCTAATGAGACACTGGCAGCAACTTTAGTATTTCTGTTAATTTTGGTTCTCTTCACATCTCTGACACAGCAAACTGGAAATGCATCCAATCTGGTTTAGATTAGCAGATGGCAGAATCCAGTTTCCAAGCAATCTTTTGAGCATCTCCAATAAAAAAAAGAATGATTTAGTCATTGCTGAACTTTTAAGCCATTGCAGAATCAACAACCTCCAAAATTTCTTGAGTGAAGTTCTAAATTACTCCTTTAAATCTATTCTATAGCAGCCTGCATCTGATTCAGGCTGGAGCTGATCTGGTTTAGCTCAAGGGCACTTCAGAGGATGCTTGTCATCACATCAACTTCATGCGCCTCCACTGCCCTCACTTCAGAGGTAACGGAGTTCATGGCTCCTCTGTGTCATTAGTCCGGCAACACTTGCTCCGGTTACACTTTTGCACACCTCACTTCAGCTGCGGGCGTTTTTATTGTGATTTCTGCAGGACATGCATGAATGGAGGTCAGTGAAATGAGAGACAGCATGTCAGCATCGCTCGATTAAAGACAGTGAATAAAAAGCTGAAAGTCAGAAAACTCACCAGGCCGGTGCAGAGGCTGAAGACAGCGGCGTGCTCGCTCCTGGCGTTGACGTGCCCGCGGTAAAAGCAGTGGCGCATGTTGTCCGGGTCACGGGAGTCCGTCAGGTTCCTCTGGTCGGCTCCCAAGTGTGTCACCCTGTAAGAGGGGGCGATGAAGCTGGAGTCTGCGCTCAGATTAAGGTGAAAGCGTTCCCCGAACGCATCAATCCTGTAAAGCAGCCGTGAGCCCAGCAGGTCATCATTCACACTCCTGCGTCTCCTTCTGTAGTGAAGCTTGTGGGGGAACGATTCTCCGAAGTCATTCACTCGGAGCGGGGTGATGATTTCATACTGTGACAGCTGCTTGATGAAGCTTTCTATGGAAAAAAGATGTAAACTCACATGAAGCTTTTATAAATGGTTCTAAGTGACTAATAATGCAATCCATCTGATTAATTAGATTTTTAATGCACGAGAAGTGGCAGATCTACCTTGTTTCGGATGCAGTCTGTAGGGGAAACTCTCTCGGACAAGTGTTGTTAAATGACACGTTAGTCCAATCAGCCAGATTGCAAACTGCATGATTTCCTCCGCTCGGACTCCCAGGCTCTCCCCTCTCCAAGGCGCGACCCTCCGTCTCTCCCTCTCCTTTCCCCCTCCGGCTTGTCAGCAACAGGTCGTGGGATCCGCGGAGGCTCTGTGCAGCGCGAGTCCGGCAAAGTGCGTCGGCCTCATCGCTTTGCTAAACATGCATCACCGCAGCCTCTGGTAAAGGGGGGGGAAAAAAGCCTCTATATTTGTGACACATTCATCCCGCTGACGCTTGAAACTGGGTGTTTTACTGAAAGGAGGGGTCAGAGCCAAGTAAGCTTTCCCCTGGCCATCCCTGCAGCGGACCCGTGCACCAGAAGCTCTCAATGGGAAGCAACGCCCCTCCAAGCTCCAGAGCCAATAGTGAGAGGGTCCAACACAGACATATGGTCCAACACTTTTGGAAGAGGAGCCACCAGTCAGTGTGTGAAAAAAAAAAATCACTTCAATGGCACTTTTCCTTCTCAACACTGAAGTTGATCTTAACATAGTTGCAGTTATGAAAGCATAACCAACCCAAGCGTGCTCAGCGACATCCTTGTTGATTTTAAACACTGAGTGACCTCACATTGGTTTTTAGGGAAATTCTTGTACCACAAATGCAATATAAACAAGTAACACAAAACTCAGCATAAATGTTGTTATTTAATTAAAATTATGTGGTTATTTTCAAGTACAAAGTGCAAAGCATCAGTTCACCTTATGTTCTGCTGAAATATCTTGGTATTTCTGCTGGAATAACCTTATGAGGTAGATTACATTTAAAATATTTTAAATGCTATTTGCATAAACTGCTAACAATGCTTGAGATTGGGTTCAGATTAGGATTTAAGCAATTCGTTTTGTGTGTGGCCTCACAAGGACTATTCGCTTTGGCCAGAATTAAATTATATGCCTTCATCAATCTGGATATTTTTGATTCATATTATTTTTTCAATTTGTGAAAATACTTCCCATCCGTGTCAATTCAGTAAGATTTCTGAAATATACCACCATTTAGGCAGTGAGAATGTCCTCTGTATTCACATATCAAAATACAAAGAAAGAAGCTGAGATTAGAGTTTCGTAAAACTAATATTTTCACATTTATTAGCGATTGGTGCAAACACTCAATGCCTGCTTGTGACAGGATCACAATAAAGTAAAACTGATGCAAAACGTTTTATCAAGGACAAAAATCTTAACAACGTGCACATACGTTTATCTCCTCAATTGTGGAAATACTGTGCATTTTCTATCCACTGTGGAGCGCCAAAATCAGAATAGTTTAAAATCTGAGAATAAATACAGCTAAAAAACTGGAGCTTTTAAAACATCCATGTCAGCATAGCCTATAAGATCTCGCTTTACTTTATCATCATCACCATCATCATCATCATCATCATCATCATCATCATTTATTTATTTATAAAGCATTTTGTCATGCTTGAGATGTTGTAGATTTAACAGTAAAACATACCAACTTTTACAGTTAAGCACAATTTCATTAAAATTATGAACCATATGAATAATGAAATCAATAAAATAATAAATTCATCTCAAATCCAAATCGAAGCAATACGAGACAATAAAATACACCAAATAAAACAAAACTCACTCCAACTCCTTCATAAAAGCTAAAAATGAAAATAGGTATTTAATCTTCTCTCTAAAACATCCAGTGACGGAGCTTGCTTGACCACCAGCGGGAGATCATTCCATAATTTAGGTCCAAGAAATGAAAAATTGGTGACCCGATTTATCTTTGGAACTACCAATAAATCCACCGTAGTAGACCTAAGCACCCATGATGGAACATCATCATAGAGGGTTAGACAGATACAGTGGGGCAAAAAAGTATTTAGTTAGCCACCGATTGTGCAAGTTCTCCCACTTAAAATGATGACAGAGGTCAGTAATTTTCATCATAGGTACACTTCAACTGTGAGAGACAGAATGTGAAAAAAAAATCCATGAATTCACATGGCATTCTTGATGGATTGTTAAAGAGCTTTCGAAGGACACCAGGAAAAGAGTTGTAGACCTGCACCAGACTGGGAAGAGTGAATCTACAATAGGCAAGCAGCTTGGTGTGAAAAAATCAACTGTGGAAGCAATTATCAGAAAATGGAAGACATACAAGACCACTGATAATCTCCCTCGATCTGGGGCTCCACGCAAGATCTCATCCCGTGAGGTCAAAATGATCATGAGAACGGTGAGCAAGAATCCCAGAACCACACAGGGGGCCTGGTAATGACCTGCAGAGAGCTGGGACCACAGTAACAAAGGTCACCACCAGTGACACACTACAACGGCAGGGAATCAAATCCTGCAGTGCCAGATGTGTTCCGCTGCTGAAGCCAGTGCATGTCCAGACCCGTCTGAAGTTTGCCAGAGAGCACATGGATGATACAGCAGAGGATTGGGAGAATGCCATGTGGTCAGATGAAACCAAAGTAGAACTTTTTGGTATAAACTCAACTCGTCGTGTTTGGAGGAAGAAGAATACTGAGTTGCATCCCAAGAACACCATACCTACTGTGAAGCATGGGGGTGGGAACATCATGCGTTGGGGCTGTTTTTCTGCTAAGGGGACAGGACGACTGATCCGTGTTAAGGACAGAATGAATGGGGCCATGTATCGTGAGATTCTGAGCCAAAACCTCCTTCCATCAGTGAGAGCTTTGAAGATGAAACGTGGCTGGGTCTTCCAACACGACAATGATCCCAAACACACCGCCCGGGCAACAAAGGAGTGGCTCCATAAGAAGCATTTGAAAGTCCTGGAGTGGCCTAGCCAGTCTCCAGACCTCAACCCCATAGAAAATCTGTGGAGGGAGTTGAAAGTCCGTGTTGCTCGGCGACAGCCCCAAAACATCACTGCTCTCGAGAAGATCTGCATGGAGGAATGGGCCAAAATACCAGCTACTGTGTGTGCAAACCTGGTAAAGACCTATAGTAATCGTTTGACCTCTGTTATTGTCAACAAAGGTTATGTTACAAAGTACTGAGTTGAATTTTTGTTATTGACCAAATACTTATTTTCCACCCTGATTTACAAATAAATTATTTAAAAATCCTGCCATGTGAATTCATGGATTTTTTTCACATTCTGTCTCTCACAGTTGAAGTGTACCTATGATGAAAATTACTGACCTCTGTCATCATTTTAAGTGGGAGAACTTGCACAATCGGTGGCTGACTAAATACTTTTTTGCCCTACTGTATAATGAGGCAGTTCCCAGCAGTGATTTAAAAACACAAACCAGAATCTTAAAATAAGTTCTAAAACAAATGATGCCAGTGGGGGGTGATATGATGCCTTCTTCTGGTGCCCATCACAAACCTAGCAACTGAATTTTGGAACAGTTGTAGTCTACACATTCAGGTTGGATCAATTCCAGCATAAAGTGAATTACAGCAATGCAGACACAAAGTAATAAAGGCATATATTACTGTTTCTAAGTGGCCATGTGACCAAAATGGTTTAAGCCTTGCAATACAATGCAGGTGAAGAAAAAGCATGATCTAACAACAGAATTTATTTGACTAACAAATTTTTGAGCTTTATCAAATTTGACATCCAGATTGGTCACCATGTCCTTCTCATACAGAGCCAACACAGAGAGATCCAATGGATGCCCCACACCCATCGTTAGGATTAAAAATGACAACTTTAGTCGCTTTTTCATTAGAATTCAGAAAATTCAAAGCCATCCTTGACTTGACATCATCCAAACGATCCAGAAGAGATCTAATAAAACCATGGGCACCACTACATAGAGGAACATAAATCTGATAATCATCAGCATGCAAATGCTGAACCCCATGCTTTGTAAAAAGTTCCCCCAGTGGTATAGGGAGAAAAAAGGGGGCCTAGCACAGATCCCTGAGGCACTCCCCAAGTGAGTTCAGATGAAGATGATGAAAAGTCACCCATCCTCACAAAAAACTCTTCCCAGTCAAATAAGATTTAACCCATTGAAGCACTGAGTCAGTGATGCCTACCCACTTTCCTAAATTAAGATGTTGTGGTCTACCATATCAAACGGAGCAGCCATGTCAAGTAACAACAGTAGAATGGCATTCATCTTTTTGATTGTTTGGAAATTTTCTTAATTATAATATATTCAGCTTTGATCATGCCTGCTGTTGGTTTCTGTGATAATTAGCCTCCAAAAGTTGTAAGAAAGAAAACGTTCTACCCGTAGGGAGTTGTATTTCGACAACACGTGAAAGCAAATGGTCTAAATAGGAGCTGGATAGCACTTATAATGGGTAAATATGTTCAGCCGAAAATGAGCAATTACAGTTAAAGAGGGTCTTGGCTTTAGAGGAGCTTTCAGTGTAACACTAGAAAGTATCCAGTAAGTAGAAACAGCAGAACAGAAGTTGGTTTCAGTATCTTTAAGAAAGTATCAAATCTAGCTCCATTATCCATCTCAGAACACTGACATATAACACAATTTGTTTTTCTGTTAGCAGGACTATGTGGTTCCAAATAAGGTTGGGTCATATTCCCATCCCAGTAACCATCTGGAAACCAGTATGTTTGCTGGTTTTGTTCACAGTTTGGTGTTGCGAAAGAACTTTAAAAAAATGTATTTCTGGATTATTTTCTGTCAAATTTTTATGACTGAAAAAGTAATGATTAATGTTTGGTTAACAATACATTTAACAAAGGTTAGACTACTCAGGATTAGCCAATCTAAATTTAAATAAGAAGCAGAATTTTGTTACAAAGAAGCGTGTTTAGAATGGGGACATACTTTACATTATCATAACCCTTTCAGAATGTGTTACCAATCTTTTTAACGTGTGAGTCTTTTGTTGACACCGCCACAGATGTGGAGGTGTTTATTCAGGGAGGTGGGGCAAAACACACACACACACACACACACACACACACACACACACACACACACACGTAAAATATCTTTACATTAGTGTTTCCTTTCATTTTATGTAAGTTAGGTATTTAATTAATGCAATGATGAAAAATTGCTTTTAACCTGTTAGGTAAAGTTTAGTTATATGACTGAATAATAAACTTGTCAAAGTCCAAAAAATGAGAAATCAGTGTGTGGCAGCCTTATATTCACTAAACACAAGCATAAACACAACACTTTTGCTTTTGCTCCCATTTTTCCTGAGCTGAACTCAAAGATCTGAAACATTTGCTATGTACATAAAATACTTGTAACTCTCAAATATTGTTCTGCCCAAGATAATCCATCCCTCATAGGTGTGGTAAATCAAGGTGTTGAATAGACAGCATGAATTTCGCACAAGTGTGCCAGACTGCTCACAATTAAAGAACACACAAACTGATTTAACTC